ACTGTGTGACTATATATATGTTGTGGTCTTACATTTTTAGGATTTATTATATGATAGAAAGCTAGGAGTTTGACTTTTTACAACGATCTCCATGTCCTTAATCTGCAGTGTCGTTCCACAATCATTCTTTAACTAATATTCCTGTAATTTTGGCCATTGGATCTCTGCTTTTGTCAGAGTTGCTTCCAGATTAAACGGGTTTGTTTCCCTGTTATATTTCTAGTGATAAGTTTTCCTTTGCTTAATAGCTTTCCTAAAATTATCTGTGTCTAGCTGAAAATTTGATGCAAAGGCATATCTATTTTGTTTGTTTTGAAATTTGTATTCACCTAAACCTAAATAACATTGACTTTGTAATGTTTATGGCTCCAATGAAACGTTTATTTGCAGTGGTATAGAATTAAATAACATCCAGGTAACATTCTACTTTCCGCTAATTTATCGTCCATTTGGTAAATTTTATATAGTCATCCCTTTAAAAGTGAAGCTATCATGGGTCTTGCTAGCATTTCTTTTATTCTCCTTTTGTGTGAAATAATTTTTGGGCCTTCAAGAAAAATGCCTGTGTTCTAATGGCTTTGTGGGTTCTTGGGATATTGCTGTACTGTAGATCCTCCATAGCAGAGCTTATTGCACCCTTTATCCATTATAACTCCCCTGCTTCTGTCTCACAAATGCTTTTCTAGGTTAAAATTAAGACCTCCATAAATTAAGATAATATCCACTGCAATCTTATTGTGACCACTCAGACTTTGTTGGCCATTCTTTAGCTTTCATGAGACACTTGATTTCGATACGTGTGTCGGTGTACACTGCTATAATTGAGTGTTCTTCAATACATCCTGACTCTGATTTATGGTTTCTGTACTTTCTCACACTATAAATAGTGTCACTTGGACATCTAACTGCGCTCTATTAAGATATCTATTTTGAATAGATGACTATGACATGTTGAAGTCTTATGAGAATGATCATATCGTTTCATATTATTATATAACTCATAACTTTCGGTTTATGTTTTCAGATAGCTCCACGTTGCACTATGTGGGCGTCTGCCGCAGACATTGCTTGCCTGTGTCTTACATATTAAGTGCTGGTGTGTCTCTTGAACTGTATGATTTAAGCAATAGAGGTGTTGGATATGCTGAAGTAGCTTGCAACAAGACTCTATGCCAATAAGCTGAAATTTACAGCAAGAGGACGTGTGCCAACTCTGCGATGGATACCATAAGAGCTTTTACTGAAGCAGTTAAGTCCCTAATTTCTCCATCTCTTCCTCTGAACAAGCACCGATCTTGCACCAGTGGGGCGAGCTGGTTAGGATACGAGTTGAGACTCACATACACTGGATTACTGGCAGATCTCTATTGCATGTCTCCTTGACTTAACCACAGCGTTAACCTTCTGAGTCTCATTCCCTCGTGCAGATGGGAATGAAGTGTCTCTATCTCACAGCGTTGTCAGCGATTTTTAAATGATTCATGCAGGTAAAATCTCAAAGTACACATCGTCTCGTACGCATGCAGACATTCAACAGTGAATCCGTCTTTATACTCACCGCCTCTTTATAGGAACAAGAATTTTAGCCTAACTCTGCTAAAATACACAAGGAGGACAATCTACTCTTCCTCACCACCTCAACTTACCCACCTTTGAGGGAGGGATTTTCTAAGGAGGTGGGCGCACACTCAGCCACCAACATCTTATCTCCTTTGCAGAATGTGTTTTTAAACAAAGACATGCACCATTCTGTCATCCCCAAGCACTGCTGGCGCGACCGCGGCACGGGAAAGCTCACTGCCTGGCTCTCCAGTCTCGGCGTGCGGGCGCCCAGCTCAGAGCAGAGAATTGAAAGAACCAGCCCAACGTGCTCTGTAATCTGGGTCATGTTCCAGTCACCCAATTGCTCGTGGAGCTGGTATCCTCGATCACACCTCGGTCTTTCTGCTTGGCGTCTGTCTCTCAACTGGCGCCTTCCAGACTCAGGGGGGCATCGACGGGTGTTTGATCTCTAACTTTTACCACTCGCCCAATTTCTTTTCGAATTAAATTAATGCACTTGACGTCAAAGGCCACTAGTTAAACAGCAAACACCACAACGGGGCTGACAAAGCTGGGGTCATGGACCATTCTTTGCCTCCTAACGTGGTTCATCAGCGGCTACACGGACAGCATCTTATCGCACAGTCTCTTAGACAGTGACCGATGACGGCTACATTATCTCATTATCACTGTACTTAAACATCATTATTCTTATTAACATAAAGGTTACACACTCGTTGGACTGTGAGAATAATCTGACAACGTGTTGCCAGCATTCTTTAACGTAGCACGCACTATTTACCAAGGCCGTAGCCATAAACTCGCTGGAGCCCGCAACGCTTCCGGACGAATCACTGCTCTGCCACGCCCAAGCAGAGTGATATCACAACGAGAGAACTAGTTGGTGCGTAGTAATTGTGTTAACACGTTTTTCTGTTTATAATGTACTGCAGCAACAGGCTGTGCATGAAACAGTATTAATACCTTGTACACGGACGCCATAGGTTACGTACCTGGCCAGCCACAAGGGAGCAGAACAGCTGCTGGATTTAGGTTGATGTGCACGCTACCTATGTTATTAGGCCACAATCCTGGGCACATAACAAACTCCAGTGGACTCTGACTTCCTACACATAAATACACACATAAAAGAAACATATCCTTGCATTTGCTCATCTTGTCTCTTCTGCTGGAGAGTCTCTTTTTCCACCTGACAGCTAAACATCGTATTTGAAAACCCAGCTCACACCCTTCCTCTCAAAAGCCCTTACTTGCAATTTTTCACCAACTTGCTTATGCAAATGGAAATCACTTAACTAATGAGTGTGCCCTCCTTGAATCATTGTGACTACGCATTGAATTACACAGAGATAAAATAGAATTCAAAATGACAGTTTCTCAGCCAGACTCCATTATGGGTAAGGTTTGTTCAAATACCAGAAGCTCTTTGCCAGACTTTATTAAACCCAAGTCAAGGCAACTCAAGCCCGAAAATGTACAGGGGAGGAATGGTGTCAGCTATCAACCCAGCACCTGGACACCTGCCCCATCCTGCATCTGGCGACTGGCCTATTACTCTCTGATCTAAATTTCTACAGCATAAAAGCCCAGCACAAATCGAGTCACAAATTTGTAATATGTGATCTTGAATCTTGTTGCATTTTTGTATTGTGGTGTACAAATATCTTCTATAATGTTGTCATGTGGCCATTACGTATTAAATTTATCACTTTCATAAGGTCCTTTTATTTTAACTGTGACCCTTTTAACTGAATCATTCCCAAATATTTAAAAGAATTAAACAGTTCTGGGGGGAAAGTGATGAAATAGATTGTATATTCTATTGTACAAATAAGTGTAAAGTTTGATTGTTGAATGAGCAGGATTCTTGATTTCATGGGGCAGTAAGCAAGCTGTAATTAATAAAGAAGTGGCAGTCTCTGATGTCTAACCCCCTTTCCCTCTATAACCCTAATCTTCCAGTGCCTCAGGTGGGGCCTGGTGTGCCCATGTACTTGCAAGTTTGTACGCAAACATAAGCATGAACAATTTGCATTTTAATTTCACCTGATGAACTAACATGAAATCAGTCATCATTACTGCTTTGATATCAATGGAATTTAGAGCATTGAGCTCAGTGATTTGTACTATTTTAGTCCAAAATCTTTATCAGGACTAAAGCTAATTTTTGGTGGCATGAAGTGGAAAAGAATTGATCAGTCTCACCCCTTCCTTTTTGGTCATTAAAGCCAACTTCAGAAAATTAAGAAAAGGGATTATATATCAGTAGATATATTGATATTTTTATACTATGTAGACATAAACAGATACATATTAAACATTTCATTTTTGGATCCTGTTATATGATGACCACAGGGAGTCAATTATTCGATTCCAGCCTAGGTACTATAAAGTCAGACGCTTTTATAGATTTTTTTTTGACTGGTGGAGGAAATAACCCCAAAGGTTATGGTTTTATTGCCCTGTAGAACTTAACCAGTTTTGTCTCTAACCTAGAAAAATCTTATTTAACATATTTCTAAAATGCCTAGAAATACTTAGTTTCTTAACTGTTCTTAAAACCATCTCTACTACTCTCTCACTGGTTCCCTCATAAAGGTTAAACACATTTTGACATGTGTTCATTTTACATTTGTTAAGAGTAGTGTTTTTCAACTTTTACAAATTACACTTGATAAGATAATTAATTAAATAATAACTGCCATTGAATGATATGCCAGATACTACATTCAGTACTTACATACTTTATGCATTTATCCTTATAATATGCTATAAAGTAGGTGTTAATATCCCCATTTTACAGATTTTTCCTCACTGCATACTCCAACAATTAAGCTGAGCTACCTTTCTTGGGAGATAAACATGATTGACTTAAGTACAACCTGTTTAACAGGAGCTTTCATTCTCAATTTCCCGATCATAATCCAATTTCTCGGATCTAACACGTGGTTACAAAAGATATTTATACTCAGACATGTACTCCCTCATGACTTTTTACCTTGACAGGTTTAAAGATGTTTGTAACATTCCTCAGCTGTATTCATACACTGTTTGTCATGTTTATTACCTTCAGGTGACTTGAAAGATGGTAAAAATAAGACAGACAAGAAGGATCACTCGAACGTCGGAAATGATTCAAAGAAAACAGATGGTAAGAGTATCATTCTCATTCCATTTTTCCATAAAATGTGCAATTTAGTGCAAGCTTGTTAAAATCATACCTAAAATTGAAATAGTGGTTGTTAATATATGCTTATACCCTGAAAAAAACCACTTCCGTATATTTAAAGAGTACTATTATCCCTTTTTCAATAATTTATTGTATAAATTATTGTTCATCTCTTCCCCTCCACCATAGTTTCTCATCACAACTGCTTTCTATACTCTTTCTTTTCCCAATTACCATTTTTCATCTTAAGTTTCATAAAAAGTTCATTCTAGACTGGCTGATTGGACAGCTGGAATGGAGTAACACAGACTGCTAATGTATTTACGAGGTTTTGATTGTGAATTGTGGACATAAATAGGAAATGTTCTGTGTTTTTAGTTTTCACATTTTTTACCGTGAATGAGTTATCACTTTCAGTTAAGACAAAAGCAAAACAGTAATCTGTTCAGCGTTATGTTGGGAGCAACATAGATGGTTGTAGAATACAGTTTGCCAGCAAGAACCAGTCCAAACCAAAGTTAGAATGAACCTATTGAATACATCAGAATGTGCTTCATGAGTATTGCTTTCCCTTTCATAAACAACATGCCACTTTTTAAAAAATGTGAACATTCAAATTTATTACCCTCCAGACTTTGAACTATTAGATTGAGAAGCCTGTCTCATCTTTTATATAAACCTCATTGTTTCACCTATAACATGGGCTCATTCCTAGTTATTCCTTCATACATGGACATAATATGATGCTAAACATGAAAGTTTCCATGGAGTGGTTCTGTTAGAATCCCAGACTCTATTTGATCATACCTCCTGGAGGCATCCTATTTGATGCTAAGCTATTCTTTGAATAGTTTGATTAGAATACCTTTAAAGAACAAATGCTGGGTAATCAGGTTGAAGAGTAAGAAGAAATCTGAACATAACTCTTCACACATCTATTAAAAAGGAAGCAGCCCATTTAGCTTTCAGCCCTGAGTGGTGATGACGTGCTCTCTTTACTTGCGTGCATGAAATCAATTCTCAAACCTTTCCTTTTAAGACCATTCAAATAATTCACTCCAGGTGTCTTACTTATCACATAATACCTGGGGAACACACCTTTATTTATGGAAATTGAAATTTGAATTCAACATAATTATCATATATCATTAAATGTTTATCTTTTTTTAACCATTTAAAAATGCAAGTGCCACTCTTCGTTTGTGGGTCATACAAAACCAGGCAGTGGGACCAGGTTTGGTTCATGGGCCGTAGTTTACCAACCCTTGGTCTAGTCAGTGAGATAAACCAATGAACACACATAAGCCAGTCACAAAGAGGGGTATACATCCTACCAGAGAGTTATAAATAAAGACCCAAAGAGGGCAGAGGTGGCAATAATTTATTTTGAAGTCCATTGGGGGAGAGCCTAAAAGAAACAAAACAGAAGCCTGAGTCTTCAACTAGGTTGGCTGAATTTTGCAACTGTGTTTCTTTCCCAAAGTAAGCAACAGTCTACCATTTCCCTTAAAAATTAAATGAGAGGTGGGAAAAGAAATCAATTTAGAGCAATAATAAGAAAGGCTAATGGTGGTTTGAGATTGTGTTACAGCAGCCTAATTAAAATGATTTATAACTGCACAGAAAGGTTCTTTTGCTTCCCCCGTTTATTGAGTAATAGCTCACATTGGCCATTACACCATACAACCCATGGGAAATTACCTAATGAGTTCTGCTCAAGGAATACCATCAAACAAGCATATGTCACTTTCCCGGCACCCTTCTTTGTGGGCTGCCCGGGATGTTTTCCAGATTAGAGCCGAAGGATGTTGGTTAGGGGCGTTCTCGAGGTTTGGGCCCTTATTGGTAATTACAGGATCCTCTAAGCTTTGCTCTCCATTGAGGCGACTTCCTCCCAAAGCCTCCTCAACCCCGGCTGAGAAGAGAGGCTGCCTTGGGCTGTTGGCGGGCACCTAGCAAATTGAACCAGAAGACATCAGGTGTTGCCGCAACTGTAGGCAAAGCTTCAGTTCAGAGCAACCCGAAAGGTTTAAAATAGAGTGCATTAGGGGTAGGAAGACTCATTCAGGGAAGTGGGAAGTAGTTTGACCACAAGGCTCAAGATTCAAGATCTTTGAGTTCATCTCTGGTATCCCTAAAACGTGGAAAAGCCAGTATTTGGACTCTTTCATGGGACTCTGAAGGAATCCTCTTTTGGACTGTGTCCTCTACTTAAACTCCTCCTGTTTGGACCCCGGCCAGAGTAGACTCCCCTTCTCACTGGTTCATCCCATATCAGAATTAAAAATGAGAGGAAACCTGGGGAGTTTATTGACTTCTAATTTAGCTTAGGATTTGTCAAATTCCATTAAAAGTATAGAATGTATCACAGTCAAAAATAGTCTTGAATTATCCTTAGATAACCATTTCATTATAGACTCATAGGCCAAAGGCATTTAGAAATGGAAGCAGTAAACAGAAGTCTGAAATCTAAAACTTGAGCTTTGTAGGGAAGTTGTAGATATAGTAGAGAGCTCAGCCTCGAGAATCAGCCTGTCTAGGTAGCTGTGCTAAATTACTTTGTCTGTGCCTTGGGCTTCTCAGCCATAAAATGGAGGTGATCATGCGAGTTTCAGGTCAATTCCTGACAAGTCAGCTTCAGCAAAATTACTTTCCAGGAAGATCAATTGGCCATTTGTTCAAGAGCTGTTAGACAAATAGCTTAAACCAGATCCACGGTAGCTGACAGGAGCAGTTTTGCTGCCAGAGGGAGATGCAGGTGCAAGTCCGTCGTGCATGTAAAGCACGTGCCAGTGGGCAATGCTCGCCACCCGGCATGGGTGGACCGGCCAGTGTCTGCCCGTAGGGCTGCAGTGACGTCGAGGAAAAACTCCAACCTGGAAAACATCCTCAATCATTTGGTGAGTTGGTTATTCAGCAGACTAGCCATTTAGTGAATAAATCTTTCATGAATTTGTCTACTTTCAGTAATATGCTTTCATAATGGAACTGTTATAAGAAGTTAAAGAAATGATTCATGCAAAGCATTTAGCACACTGCCTGGCACAAAAAAAGTGAAAAAAGACAAATCTCTTCCCTTGCACACACACATTTTAGAAACTCTGCCTACTACAATTATGATTACAGTCTTTTTGCTTCAATAAGTACCAGTATTGGAGTAGTAATATGTTCTTGGTTTTATGCAGGCTAAAAAAAGACAACTACTGCCATTAGTAAAATTGGTAAGAAAAATATTTAAAACTTGAAAATAAGGCTGGGGGAAGGGGTCCCTGACCTTTCCATGTCACACTGGCATATTGTAGAACAGACCTGCCCAAGAATTATTATTAGTAAATTATCTTAGACAGGAGGTAGCACACAGATTGCCAATATTTCTGGCTTTGCACAGCTCTGTGCCAGCTATTTAACTCTGCTGTTGCAGCCTGAGAGCAGCCATAGACAATGTGTAGATGAATGGGCATGGCTGTGTTTCAATAAAACTTTATTTATAGTAACAGGCGGCAGTCCAGATTGGCTCAGGGGCCATAATTTGCTGACCCGTGCTTTTGAAGAACATAGCTGTTTTATAACTTTGCTTTTTACTATTCGATTCCAGCCTAGGTACTATAAAGTCAGACGCTTTTATAGATTTTTTTTTTGACTGGTGGAGGAAATAACCCCAAAGGTTATGGTTTTATTGCCCTGTAGAACTTAACCAGTTTTGTCTCTAACCTAGAAAAATCTTATTTTAACATATTTCTAAAATGCCTAGAAATACTTAGTTTCTTAACTGTTCTTAGAACCATCTCTACTACTCTCTCACTGGTTCCCTCATAAATGGGTTAAACACATTTTGACATGTGTTCATTTTACATTTGTTAAGAGTAGTGTTTTTCAACTTTTACAAATTACACTTTGATAAGATAATTAATTAAAATAATAACTGCCATTGAATGATATGCCAGATACTACATTCAGTACTTACATACTTTAAATGCATTTATCCTTATAATATGCTATAAAGTAGGTGTTAATATCCCCATTTTACAGATTTTTCCTCACTGCATACTCCAACAATTAAGCTGAGCTACCTTTCTTGGGAGATAAACATGATTGACTTAAGTACAACCCTGTTTAACAGGAGCTTTCATTCTCAATTTCCCGATCATAATCCAATTTCTCGGATCTAACACATGGTTACAAAAGATATTTATACTCAGACATGTACTCCCTCATAACTTTTTTACCTTGAAAGGTTTAAAGATGTTTGTAACATTCCCTCAGCTGTATTCATACACTGTTTGTCATGTTTATTACCTTCAGGTGACTTGAAAGATGGTAAAAATAAGACAGACAAGAAGGATCACTCGAACGTCGGAAATGATTCAAAGAAAACAGATGGTAAGAGTATCATTCTCATTCCATTTTTCCATAAAATGTGCAATTTAGTGCAAGCTTGTTAAAATCATACCTAAAATTGAAATAGTGGTTGTTAATATATGCTTATACCCTGAAAAAAACCACTTCCGTATATTTAAAGAGTACTATTATCCCTTTTTCAATAATTTATTGTATAAATTATTGTTCATCTCTTCCCCGCCACCATAGTTTCTCATCACAACTGCTTTCTATACTCTTTCTTTTCCCAATTACCATTTTTTCATCTTAAGTTTCATAAAAAGTTCATTCTAGACTGGCTGATTGGACAGCTGGAATGGAGTAACACAGACTGCTAATGTATTTACGAGGTTTTGATTGTGAATTGTGCGACATAAATAGGAAATGTTCTGTGTTTTTAGTTTTCACATTTTTTACCGTGAATGAGTTATCACTTTCAGTTAAGACAAAAGCAAAACCAGTAATCTGTTCAGCGTTATGTTGGGAGGCAACATAGATGGTTGTAGAATACAGTTTGCCAGCAAGAACCAGTCCCAAAACCAAAGTTAGAATGAACCTATTGAATACATCAGAATGTGCTTCATGAGTATTGCTTTCCCTTTTCATAAACAACATGCCACTTTTTAAAAAATGTGAACATTCAAATTATATTACCCTCCAGACTTTGAACTATTAGATTGAGAAGCCTGCTCTCATCTTTTATATAAACCTCATTGTTTCACCTATAACATGGGCTCATTCCTAGTTATTCCTTCATACATGGACATAATATGATGCTAAACATGAAAGTTTCCATGGAGTGGTTTCTGTTAGAATCCCAGACTCTATTTGAATCATACCTCCCTGGAGGCATCCTATTTGATGCTAAGCTATTCTTTGAATAGTTTGATTAGAATACCTTTAAAGAACAAATGCTGGGTAATCAGGTTGAAGAGTAAGAAGAAATCTGAACATAACTCTTCACACATCTATTAAAAAGGAAGCAGCCCATTTAGCTTTCAGCCCTGAGCGGTGATGACGTGCTCTCTTTACTTGCGTGCATGAAATCAATTCTCAAACCTTTCCTTTTAAGACCATTCAAATAATTCACTCCAGGTGTCTTACTTATCACATAATACCTGGGGAACACCTACTTGCAATTTTTCACCAACTTGCTTATGCAAATGGAAATCACTTAACTAATGAGTGTGCCCTCCTTGAATCATTGTGACTACGCATTGAATTACACAGAGATAAAATAGAATTCAAAATGACAGTTTCTCAGCCAGACTCTATTATGGGTAAGGTTTGTTCAAATACCAGAAGCTCTTTGCCAGACTTTATTAAACCCAAGTCAAGGCAACTCAAGCCCGAAAATGTACAGGGGAGGAATGGTGTCAGCTATCAACCCAGCACCTGGACACCTGCCCCATCCTGCATCTGGCGACTGGCCTATTACTCTCTGATCTAAATTTCTACAGCATAAAAGCCCAGCACAAATCGAGTCACAAATTTGTAATATGTGATCTTGAATCTTGTTGCATTTTTGTATTGTGGTGTACAAATATCTTCTATAATGTTGTCATGTGGCCATTACGTATTAAATTTATCACTTTCATAAGGTCCTTTTATTTTAACTGTGACCCTTTTAACTGAATTATTCCCAAATATTTAAAAGAATTAAACAGTTCTGGGGGGAAAGTGATGAAATAGATTGTATATTCTATTGTACAAATAAGTGTAAAGTTTGATTGTTGAATGAACAGGATTCTTGATTTCATGGGGCAGTAAGCAAGCTGTAATTAATAAAGAAGTGGCAGTCTCTGATGTCTAACCCCCTTTCCCTCTATAACCCTAATCTTCCAGTGCCTCAGGTGGGGCCTGGTGTGCCCATGTACTTGCAAGTTTGTACGCAAACATAAGCATGAACAATTTGCATTTTAATTTCACCTGATGAACTAACATGAAATCAGTCATCATTACTGCTTTGATATCAATGGAATTTAGAGCATTGAGCTCAGTGATTTGTACTATTTTAGTCCAAAATCTTTATCAGGACTAAAGCTAATTTTTGGTGGCATGAAGTGGAAAAGAATTGATCAGTCTCACCCCTTCCTTTTTGGTCATTAAAGCCAACTTCAGAAAATTGAGAAAAGGGATTATATATCAGTAGATATATTGATATTTTTATACTATGTAGACATAAACAGATACATATTAAACATTTCATTTTTGGATCCTGTTATATGATGACCACAGGGAGTCAATTTAACTATTTCTAATGTCCCTACCCCGACTCCGACCCCAGGGAACCATTGGTGACCAGTTCTCTGTAATTTTCGAGAGGGAGTATCCAGGTACTATTCATGCCCAGTATGATCTAACCCACTATGGTTTTTAGTTGCAGCATTGTAAACATTCAGAGAGAAACACAATGGAAACTAGACCACAGTTGGTTATTCCCAAACTCCCGTGAGCCCAGGCATGCACAGGGGGACATAGTGTGTGTTGAAAGAGTAAATTACATCCTGGCATAATGAACACATTGCAGTTTTACATTATCTCTATAAGGCTACTCAGGTACTATTTAATACCCTGCAGCACTAATTTTCCAACTGACTTCAAGGAATGGATGTCGTTTGAAAGTACCTTGCTGATCCCTAGGGAGAAATGTACTAACATAAAAAGTGTAGGTCTCTGAGCCAAGATTCTCCTGGTGTCTAAACTTTTCTACTAGCATTGGGAGACTTGTGGGGTACCACACAAATGAATTCTTTTCAGTGCATTTTTAGCCATGTTTATAATAACATAGGCTCTTGGATCTGCCATAATTTCTTTCTTTTCTTTTCTTTTTTTGAGACAGAGTCTCACTTTGTTGCCCGGGCTAGAGTGAGTGCCGTCGTGTCAGCCTAGCTCGCAGCAACCTCAAACTCCTGGGCTCAAGCAATCCTACTGCCTCAGCCTCCCGAAGTAGCTGGGACTACAGGCATGCGCCACCATGCCTGGCTAATTTTTTCTCTATATATATTAGTTGGCCAATTAATTTCTTTCTATTTATAGTAGAGACAGGGTCTCACGCTTGCTCCAGCTGGTTTCGAACTTCTGACCTTGAGCAATCCGCCCGCCTTGGCCTCCCAGAGTGCTAAGATTACAGGCGTGAGCTACCGCCCCCAGCCCATAATTTCTTATAGTTGCCCAGAAATATAAACTTGCCCTTAACTTTACTTGACCATGTTAATAGAGATGTAGGAGATAACCACGTTTATGTCTCTCAAATGATTGATTATAATTAGGCCTTGCATGTTTATTAGCCAAGTCCCAGGGAGGGAGTTCAGCAGGAGTTTCTCCTTCATTGAATATTCTGGGAATTGGAGTATTTATGAATGTTGGTGCATGACATTTAAAAGTCAGTTGTGAAGAGTGGAAAGTGTAGACAAAAGGCAATCTATGGATGTCTGCTCTTGCCAAAGAGAAGTAACAAAAATTGGATTTACCCTCCCACCTGATATAATGAAGAAAACCCTGACAACATATGTAAAAAAGTGATTTTCCAGACACTGGACATCAGGAAATGGAGGACAATTGAGCTCTGAGAGACAGGAAGTAACTGAACTGAGTCCCACCACTGCCTCAACTAACTGCCTTGAGAGGATGTCCAGGCAACATAGAGGGGAGGGACATAGGCAGATCTGGTTGACTATTTGAGATGAGAAGTTGAATAAGAATCCAAGAAGACCAAGATGGCTACAGCTAACAGAATAAAGTACTGGATATAAGAGGGCTCTAGAGAACTAGAACTCCAGAGATATGAAGAGTATGCTTCAGAGTACAGGAGTCCCCCATTATTAGTGGTTTTGCTTTCTGCATTTTCAATGACCTATAGTCAACTATACTCCTGAAGTATTAAATGGAAAATTCTAGAAATAAACAATTCATAAGTTTTAAATTGTGCACTGTTCTGAGAGAATGATGAAATCTCATGCTGTCCTGCTCTGTCCTGCCTGGGACATGAATCATCCCTTTGTCCAATGTCCATGCTGTATGCTACCTGCTTGTTCATCACTTAGTAGCTGTATGTATTACTGGATTGATTGTTAAGGTACTGCAGTGCTTGGGTTCAAGTAACTCTTATTTTACTTAATAATGACACCAAAGCACAAAAATAGTGATGCTGGCAATTCAGATATGCCAAAGAGAAGTCACATAGTGAGTGCTTCTTTTGAATGAAAAGATGAACATTCTTAATAAAGACAGAAAAAAATTTTTGTATATCAAGCTGCTAAGATCCATGGTAAGAATGAATCTTCTATCAATGAAATTGTAAAGAAGAAAAAATAAATTTGTGTGTAGTATTAATATATATAGTGTTCGGTACTATCTGTGGTTTTAGGCAGCCACTGGGAGTTTGGGAACATTATCACCCACAGGTAAGGGGGGACTACTGTACTGAGCAATCTGTGCAATGAGGAAACTACCTGAAGCCAGGAGAGAACCATCCAAGAGTATTAGAGGGAAGAAGCCTGATATTCACACAGGGCAGGGAAAAGTGCCTGTTCTCACTAGTCAGACTTAAATATCTGATTATTTAAAGAAAACTAGGTAGAATAATCATAATTGTCTTGCTTTAGTAGTGGGGAATAATTAGCTGTAGGCTAAATGCTGCTGCCTTCCTACCTAACAAATCTTTAAAGTGAGACTTAAAAGGATCAAAGTGTTTCCAAGTAACTGTGTCCCAGAATAAAGCTCAAGGATATATATAGGAATACAACAATATCCAGCACCCAAAAAGGTAAAATCCACAATGTTTGGCATCCAATCAGAAATTAGTGGGCATGCAAAGCAGCTAGAAAACACCACCCATAACAAGGAAAAAAAAAAAAAACTCAGCCAATTGAAACCAACCCAGAACTAAAGCAGATGTTAGAATTAGCAGACAAAGACATTAAAGCAGTTCTTAGAATTGTAGTCCGTATGTTCAGAAGTTAAGTGGTGACATGGAAGATATTTTAAAAAGCTTGAGATCA